AGAGAGAGAGGGGAGAGGAAAGGGAAAGGAAAGAGAGAGAGAGAGAAAGAGGAAAGAGAGGGAGAGGAAAGAGGCATACAATAATTCATTTGCATTTAATTGTAATGGTTCAAAGAATGTTTGGAAAAATGTTCGGCCCTCCAGCACGTTCACTTCATCCAATCTGGCCCTCTTTGAAAAAAGTTTGGACACCCCTGAGTTAAGCAGTTATTCCGGTATTCCTGCAGCATGCTTAATCCCTCCAAACCCACTCCACCCCCACAAAAATTGACCAGTTGTGGAAATTGGACCGTGATCATAAAAGCTAGTATTACCAAGTTAGCCTCATTTTTTTGGGATTTCAATTTCCACCAGCCATACAATTTGAAGGAAGTCGAGTCCAGACTGTGGAAGGCACCAGTTTGGCATTCTGCTGCTAGCATTATTTGGCATTTTTCATATCTGGTTTATCTACTTCATGCACAGAAACAGCAGGTAGCCCATGTGTGCAGAGGGATCACTGATCTAATTCTCCCCTTTGGGGATCACCGCAGCAGCTTTCAATTTTTTTCCTCAGGTACCAGGAAAAAGCACCCCAAACACTGTGATTGTAAGGCTGAGATGAGGGACAATCCTAATGCTGCAATATGGTGGGAATTTTATGCTAATATTTAACACTATTTAAAACATCAATGGCAATATTTAAAATTGCAAGATTAGCATATATGCATTTGATGTACTCACTTCTATACTTCAAGTAATGGCTAAAAATTAACCGTGCATGCAATTGGAAGAAAAGAATGCTTTAAACATTTTTAGTATTTAAAAATATCATTTATTGTATTTTCTGTTTTAATAGATAGTCTCCCATTCATTTGCCCTTGTTCCAGAAATGGAGAGCATTGTGATCAACAAACCAGACATCACACACACACACATTCTGTCAGTTATTAAAGTATCTAAAATAAAACCAGACGTACAACAAATTCTGAAAAAAAAACATGAGAAGAAATGGACGCTGACTAAATATACCAAGCCACGTTGGATTGTTGAAGGAGTATACTGCTCCTTTTGTTTCAAGTTGTATCTAGGACAGTTTCAGATATACTGGGAATATACCACCCAGAATTCTCCACCAGCAGGGCCAATTATAATTCAGGATGTTGTAGTCCCCCATCTGAAGAGTGCCAGGTTAGAAAAGACTGCCCTAGAATTTTATCCCTTCCTGGAGCTCACACAGGTAGCAGAGGTATTCACTGTTGAACTATAAAACCATGAAAATATGTATAACTCTCCTGAGGATTTGACATATAATGAAGGACAGTCTTTTGACAACACAAATTTTCCATCCTCAGCTACTGTTATTGTAAGACAGAGGAAGGAATGGAAGGCAGAATTAATGCCAATAATTCTTTCTTACCCTTATACAAACAACAATGTAGTGTCTTAGCTTCCTACCTAACAAATATAAGGTGCATCAGAGCAATTGGAAAAGATGGAAGCTGGAGTGACACTTAATTCCTGCTATCTTCTCTGTCCATGGAGGAGCATCAGAATGAAAGTGGGCAAGTACTCAGAAAAATGGTGGTAAATAATCTATCGGTATTGTGTTCTCCCTGAAGCTCCTTTGTGCTAATACAGCAATAATGTGAGTTAATATTTCAGCTAACAAGTTGACACCAATATGGTAATAGGAGAAAAATGGCCTGATTCCTGAATTTTCCCTCCCAAAAGATATAAAAATGCTACAGAAATGAACTTTATACAAAGTTCAGGATGTGACCATTTCTCCAAGGACAATGCTATGCTTCATAGGACAGATATATAGGCATCTTCACTGTGTAATTTTAACAAAACATCATTTGGATTTAATTGATTCAAATTAGGAATAGCCTCTTCAAAAAGGGAAAGAAAAGCGGACTTACTAATCCAAGCTCAATAACTTTGAATAAGCAAGTTTTTTCTTTATCAACTTAATGGGAACCCCGAAGACTGGATGTTGACTGTAACTAGAATCAAACTTTTATACACTTCCAATATATTTATCTTATATTTGAGTATGAAGATATCAAGACAGATTATAGAGTAGCCAATGGCCAGAAGACTTCATTCAAGTCCATAATGAACTACTGCAAGACTGTCTCACATAGTTAAGGTTTGAGCCCATGTTTAAAAAATTTGCTTGCAAAAGTAAAAGGATATTCAATCTATATGTACTCAGAAATAGCAAAAAAAGAGAGAGTACCATGGGAATAAATAATACAGTTCTGAGGCCTGAACATTCCTTGCACCAGTTGTGACTGCCCAATTCAAGTAGTCTGCACATGCCAAGAGTCCTTCCTTTCTGCAGAGAAAAAAGAGAATCGTCTTGAGCTTTTAGCCTTGGATTTGTGTACCTTGTGCATACTGCCTCCTCCATGGCATAAGAATGAAATTAGGTAACTGAGAAAAATAAGGGAGAGGATGATGGGAAAAACAGTCTCTTCCTTTGGCAATTTAATATACTGTGCCCACTTAAGAACATAACCTCATCAATGAGTCAAAGTCAATCTGTTGCCAGAATGGGATGTTTTCCCGCGTTATTTCGGTTGCTTGTCCCAGTCAGACTGGCTGCCTTTAAAGTTGAAAAGGGTACTGCTTCAAATAGTCCTTCATTCTCTTTGGTAGAGGCAATTGGTCTGTCTCTCCAGTGCTTCGATTGATCTGTAGTCGGCAGAGGTGCTGCAGGCTGGGGGCAATGTCCTTGCGGCCGAGCGGCTGGATGAGCTTCAGATGTACTGCCGATGCTATCATCTCCTTTTGTGGGGGAGGCAAAGGCATGGGAGGCGGGTAGGGAGCATCGCTCTTGCTCTCTACAGTACAAGAAAGAACATAATGCTGGATGAGGCTAACCACATCCGGGAAGGCCAAAACCCGAGGTTTGGAGAGGCAATTGGAATCTAACTGGAACTTGCTATCGGCGTATTCAATGCGTACATTGGTAGGACCTCTGTTGGTCTTTACGGATAGTGTGAACAAGTAGCTGGGATGAGCACTGTCCCGTACCAGAAAAGTCCCCTCCGGCATCTTCTGGAGCTGCTGCTTGGCTTCATTGGCTGTAATGGAACCCCAATACCAGCCTGGAAGAGAATCCCAGAAAAGACATGGATAAGAAGGACAAACTATTCATTTTAAAAAAAACAGGAAAAGAAACATTTATTGGTTCATTTTCTATTTTATTGACATATATGCATATACATATATTTGTGAACAAATAGTGGCATTTACTGTGCACTCCCTCCCGAAGTAGTACAATTTAGCCAGTATCATAATGGGAAGTATCACAGATTTTTGAAAAGGCATTTATGAAGTCAGCTTTGGGATGATATATTCAAGAAGCTGTGGAAGTGTCCCTGAGTCAAGTGGGGCTTGTTTGTGGACAAAGAGCTATGGAATTGCAGCCCCAGACAATTGCCGCTAACCATATTGGGGAGCCATTTTGCCTTTTTGGAATTCTGCTCTTTAAAATCCAGGCTGCCCTAAAGGAGATATAGAGGAACTGGGCACTTTAACAACATACAATAGGTTCTTATTCCAAGTATTGAAAGTATCGATTGGATCCTTACCAGATTCTCGCAGAAATGAAAATGTTCTGGCAATGCATAGCAGATCCTCCTCTGGGTCTCGTGTTTGAGGTGAGTTGCTTTCAAGCCTGGGCATTGCCAGGGGAGGGGCGGACTGTTCTTGGAAGGATGTGACTGATAGAGGCTGCATCATCTGTTCTGACACATTCACTGCAAGGCCTTCAACTGGCAGCCTCCGAAGTTTCTCCTCTGATACCAAAGGATAGGATCTGAAAAGAAGAGCATTTTGGATTATTCCTTTTCTGGCTGAAATGAATGCATCACTGAACACAACATCACATACCCGGGTCTGTACAGTTCATTTCCACAAATAAGACAGTTGTATTAATGGCAGTCACCAAAGCAAAGAAGATAACCGGGGTCAGGATTCTTTGCTGTTTTTATCCTTACATAAGTTCTTCCCTTATCAGACCTTTTATTTTAAAACAAGACGTGTTTTTCAATTTAGATAAAAATTAAAAAATCATCTTGATGCTTTGCAAGTACCACAAACAGATAAAGAAAAAACATAACATAGATTCTTGGAAAACACTCCACCTTTCCAGGGATTTTTTTTTAAAAAAAAAAACTCTTTGTTTCCTATATTTTAAGGTTACCAATCTTTAAAAGACCATCTTGCCTGAATCAGAAAATTGGTAAATTTATTTTTCACAATAATAAATGTAGGAACATGTGTGAGCCAGCCATGAAGTAAAAAAAATATCTCTATGCTAAACTATCATCCTATATTTTATATTATTCTGGTCTCCCTCTGTGCAGGGTTATGGATATGTCTCCAAAGGATGTCCCACTTAGCTCAATGTAACTTTCCATTGGACCTTTAATGATGTCACTAGCTTATTTGCAACTTTAAGATAATCCCCCAAATTTACTTTGGTGAGGAAATATAACATTATGATAGACATGCTGGTATTTGGAAAGATTCCCTCCAAAAATTAAAATATTAATTTTAATATTAAAATAAATGTGACTATTTAATAGAGTGTAAATGTACAGCAGATGAAATATGAATGTTGAAAGTCTCTCTCATGGGATGATCTGAAATGGCCATTTATAGGCCATTTATATAGTCCTCCTTTGTACGCTGATAGCCCTGTGGTGGCTCCAACTACATGACGAGCTGATCTCCTGTATCCCCCAATCCAGGTGACCACTGTCAATCCTCAGTAGTAACATCCAACCTTATAGAGTTGCCAGGAAGCAAATATTAGACAGTAGCATTTGACTCTCTTTGCGGCTGAATGCTTGACCATCTGATTTCAGAGAAACACATTGCCACATGGTGGCTTTTAAGGAACCACTTAAGCATTCCAAATTGTGTGAAACTGCTTTAGTGTATTAAAGAAGCATTTTGTTTACACTGTGCCAATCTGTAACTTTATCTAAGCTGTAACAGGATATTCTTGGAAACTATGAGTTTCAAAAGATTTTCACACGGTTGTATTTTTCTACTGGTGCTTTCTCTCCTATCTGATAAATGCATTAACAATTATTTCCAACTGCTCACAAGACTGGAAATATTTCAATAATAGAAATTTGATCATTCACCCCCTACCCCAGTTTACTTATCATTCATCCCTACACACATAACAGGCCCACAAGTAACAGTACTATACCTTTCTGCTTTGCTTATATAGTTTCTCTTTTGAATAGTTAAAACAATACTCCAGTACTGATTGTGTGCAATATGAATGTGTTACCAATGAAAGCAGGGGTTATTTCCTATCTTTCTTTTCCTTCAGCCTTTTCTTTCTTTGCAATTATTTCAGTTTAATACTCAAGTTCAACTATTAGTCAAGTAAAAGCAGACATAAAGTAAAACCATCCATTAGGAACTGAAAACTCTCTTATTAAGAAATTAAATTTTACCACTTCCTGACCAATAAGCATTCTGCATCTCCCTAAAATGGAAATGTATATGAGAACTCAAAAATCACTTCTATAAAACACTTCCTGGTGTCTAGCGAGAAAGGAGATGCAATAACAAATATGATTAAAAATCAACCTCTAGATAAAATCTGGAATAATTTAAATGCTACATTGAAATTCAACTTTTCTCCACAAACCTGATATAGATTCCTTTCCATGGAAGGAATGGTATCTTTATTCAGCATCCTAATTGGGTTAAATAAAATAACTTCTGCTGAGTCTGTTGCTGATTTTAGGGAAAGTGTCTACATTGACTTCAGCAATTAGGTTTTTATCTATCTATCTATCTATCTATCTATCTATCTATCTATCTATCTATCTATCTATTTATCTATCTATTTCTCTAAAGTGGGTGTGGTAACAGGTGAGAAAACATAACACTGGGAGGGTGGCTTTTAGGGGTTTTGTTTGTTTGTTTGTTTTGCAAATATACAGTAGGGATGAAAGGTTTCCAGACTATTTTTTCAGAAAGAATTAATTAATTAAGATTAATTAATCTTCAAATAGTCCTACTAAGGATAATTCATGAAGATCACTGCTTCTATTCCGAGGATCTTTGGGAATTTGGGATCTTTGACATTATGTTGGTGCTGTTGTTTTGCAGCAATCATGTTTTTACCTGAGCCTTTAAAACTTACCCCTTTTGTAACTGAGATAACATTTAACCTTTTCCTCTTATTAATCCTCTACAACACTTGAGTCTATTTCAGACTTCTTGACTTTTTTTGCTCATTATAGTCTCCATTTATTGCTGGTACTTTATATGTCTATATAAATATCTAAAGCTATACAAGTTACAAAGACACATCTGTCAATGAAATCTTCCTCCATTTTCTTAACATCTAATACTTCAGGAGCAGAAGAATCCTGAATCTGCTCTTATCAGTGGTTTTCCAGTGCCATTTGCTCCCCCTCCCCAACATGGCCTCAACATGTAGACCATTTAAAGTCACTGTTCTTTCCATCACTATTACCGCCCCGTAAATGAATGTTCATAATCATGACCAAATGGAAAATGAAGTAATTATACTGTCTCATTCTCACAATTAATGAGGCAAGTAGTGTGGTTGGCACTGGCAATCTTAGGGCTTCCTTGCCAAGAGGAGAAGAGGGCACATGCCACTGTAAACCATCTTATTTTTTAAAGTGAATAAATACTTGGCTGGGATTCTTTGAGCAAGAACCCTTCTGGGTAACTAGTGAGAGCTAAAAGCCTCTTGTTTGCTCATGTAACTGTCAAATGAGGGAGTTAAAAGCTGTATTACTCCTAAAACCAAACTAGTTACAAGTTCATTTTAATTATTTTTTGGGTGAGAGGCTTAAAGGAGATGTTTTTTATTTGTTTTCTTTGTTTTTAGGGTCTTGATATATATGCTGCAAGCAATGAACCCCTTGGGGTTCAATAGCTCCACAGTTTATAGAGGTTTTTTTTTTGTTTCCTTGGTGGGGGAAAGGAGTAGGAAAGGGAAACAGCAGATTTGTTCTTCATTAAATGGCAGGACGTAACAAAGTTGTGAGAGGGAAAATGTACATGTGAGAATTAGCAGAAGCATCCACTGAGAATATGAAAGAGACTGCCAAGTTGTAGGTTAGGAAACATCATAGAGTGAATGCAACTATATGACACAGTGGCTCTTAATACTGAATTATGCGCCCAGAGTAAGAGAACCTTCCAGGGGAAGGCTCCACAGCAGCCAAAACAGCTTCAGGACAAACTACTGAATAACAAACAGAACTGTCAATTTGAAGATTGACAGAACCAGAAAAGTGTGTACATCAGGGTGAAAAAGGGAGTCTGCTGCAGTGGGCAAAGTTGGCCTTTAAAATCTTCAAGTTCAAATCCCTGTGCAGTCAGGAAGTTTACTGGAGGTTACTAGGCCATTCTCATTTTCATTGTGATAAGATATTGGGCTTCTGTACTGTATGTCACTCTAGAACAGTGTTTCTCAATCTTGAAAACTTTTAAGATGTTTGGACTTCAATTCCCAGAATTCCACATTCAGCCATGTTGGTTGGGGAATTCTGTGAATTGAAATCTACACATCTTAAATGGCCAAAGTTGAGAAACCCTGCTCTAGTGAGTAAAATGTATCCAAAGAGATAAGTTAGCTCAAGAAGCAATTAAATGGTGAAGCAAGAGAGGGTCATACAGAAATCAGATATCTCCTTCTACTAACCTAACTACTACCACAATTAAAATGCAACTTTACAGTACATGCCTAAGTAAGCCTGATGTAATTCAGCACAGTGTTTCCAGGATAGTGTGTATAAATCTATAACTTTAATCCAGCATTAATTCAGAAACAGATATAGTATAAAAAGCATAACATGGATTCTAAACATAAAAAACAAATGTGATTGTAATATGTCTAATATAGTAATAAAACAAAAGTCCAAAGGAAAACTCCAATTTTTGTAACTTTTAAGAAATGAAAAATACTAATACCTTATTTAGAACAGCTTTAAATGGCCAACATCTTAATGCCTATAGGACATGCTTAGTAGTTTGTTGGCCTGCCCATATAAGATTCAAAGAAACAATGTAATCATTTTGCATTATAAATGACCCAAGAAACAATAAATGTTAGGTTGGGTAAACATATAAATACACAAGATTTGTTATTAGAAACATGTATAATAATAAGAGAAGAACTTGAAGAAGATTAAACTGAAGGCAAAAAAAACCCCCAATTGTCTAATGCGTATTCCTCTAAGGGCAGCATTTCTGTACACGCTCATCTCATTTACAAGTCAGTTCAATGGCCTTGACTTCTGAATAGTCACACTGAAACAAACATGTAATGCCCTTGCTTAGCATCCTATGTTTAACCTCTCTCACACATATGCACATACACCTAATATCCACTGTCATAATCTGTATAGGTTTATTCTATCACAACGAATAACATAATCAGAACAGACCTGGAAGGGATCTTGGAGTTTTTCTAGTCCAACCCCCTGCTCAAGCAGGAGACCTTGTACCATTTCATGTGGCTGTCCTGTCTTTTCTCAAACCCCCCCCCCCCCATGGATGGAGCACCTACAACTTCTAAAGGAAGGCCAACTGTTCCACTGGTTAATTATCCTCAACATATTGAGTTGGCACTTCAACTCAGGTATTCTCTGCTATACAAAGCAAAGTGCTCTGACCCAGATCAGATCTGGATTTCTCCGTTTCTTGATGGCTGCTCCACCTTTTTTCATTTTAGTTGGATTTAAAGACATTTCGCTTTGGAAGATATATTTCTTTATAACTATATAACAAATGCTCACTTTCAGAGACCTCTAAATGGGGTGGAGTACATAATTAATCACTACTGCGCTTTGCTTTAAATGAAAAAGCACAGAAAAATGTGAAGACTTTTGATAGGTTAGAAATGACCTTCGTGGAGGCCACGGATTTTGAGTGGAAGCCCATAATTTTACACACACACACGCACACACACAAAAAAAAAAACCAGGGCAGGAGAATCCATTTGCTATCCTTTCCTTGTGGTTGTAATAGTAAAATTCTAGGGAGCTGGAGTAAACTGTCACTGAAAGCTGGACTGGCTTCAGAGCAAGCTTTTAGAGGAGCCCACCTGTGTTTTTTTTAAAAAAGTCGTGGTTTGTAAAGAAACTTACCCTTGAACGCAGAGGATCATGTCACTCCAGGACCCAGGAAAGAGCATCAAGTCCACCGAGAAATGGGGTAAAGCCGCGCTTCTTCTTTGTTCCCAAACCGAAAACCTGCCACAGTCCGTCCGCAAGTTAGCAGAAATCCAGAAGTGTCCCAACAAGGTTTCTGAAATGCACTGAAGAATCGCCTACACAAAATAAGCTGCAGGTAGTCCCAGGGAAATCTTTCCCGCATCAAGTTACGCGAAAAAAAATGCGTGGGATCGCAGCTCTTTTCCAGTGAACTCCGGCTGAGTTTTAAAAGATGGCAATCAAAAAAACAAATATTAAAAATTACGTTTACTTTAGAAACAAATCTCCTCCTTCTCGGTGGCGCGGAAAGTCGCCTCGAATAAAAAACGAGAATAAAAAAATGATAATAAATACCTGCCTGAATAAATAACCTCTCCCCGCCTAAAAGTTCGGGGAGAAGAAGAGAGCGGACCAAGCAGCCGTTGTGCCTTCGACGCCGGCTCTTGAAGAAATGAGGATCGCGGGGAGCCGAAGGGGGGAAACCACTACTCAGTAATCTTTTGTTTGCGCCCTTTTAATCTATTCCAGGAAGTGGTGGATTCCTGGAATTGTATTGTATTCACATCACTCTTCCGACAGGCACAAAAAAAGAAAGGAAAGTATAAATAGAAGGGGCCGTTCCAGGTACCTTCATCTCAGGCTTGCGGTCTCCTAAGGTCAGAAATAACCCCGCCTCAAAAACACGAGTGGAAAGAGAAGCGTATTAAGAGATCTGCGCCGAATGGTTTGAAAACTTGCGTGTTTTCATTTTTAATTCAGCGCTGCCTCCGGCCGCTCTCGCAGTTCAAGGAAATACCTTTGATAGATTTCCAAGAACTTTCCAGGAAAGCGGGGCGGGCTTTCCCAACCTCTGCCAATCCGAGTGAAGGAGGGCAGGGCCTGACGCCCGGAGCCCCGCCAATCGGGGGCGGATGACGCGCGATGCTGCAGTTATCCAGGCCCAGTAGGGTTAGTCAGAAACCCGCAGGCTGGTGCTGGGTCCCAGGAAAGGGCGGGGCGGGGCGAGCTGAAATCAGCAGAAAGCCTCGAGGTCGCCATGCGGCCGGCGAGTTGGTTGCTTGAGCTCCCAGGCGAGTCTCCTGCGCCCGCCGCCCGACGGCCAAATCTGATCTGAGGGCGACAGCGGAGCCGAGCACCGCCTGCCTTGACAGGCAGGAGAACAAAGGCTGCTTTCTTTAGGCTGGCAGTCTTTCTCCACCTCTGCAAACTTTTCTTAGCAGGCATGAGTTTTTGGCACCCATTTTTCTCAGTTGAACGAATGAACGCCAAACCTTCTGGAGGAAATGGAGACGTTGCAGCGAAGAGATGCTGGTGAAAAAAGACACACACACCCCTTTCCTTTCCGAAGGCATAAACTGCACACCCTTCTCTTTAGGGAATACACACAGAGTTTATTTTCATTTATCCTTTCATCTTTAAACAATGAAAAGCCAGGAAGGAGTGAACATGCTAGAATAATTCGGTAGCTCGTATAAATGAAAATGAATGGAATGTATTAAGAACTACTGAGAAAAACGATTAGGAAGGATAGCCCTACCTTTCTAAGTTATATAGGAGGTCATTCACAGCAGAATCCTAAGGCTATTTTATCTCCAATTCAATATGGTGCACCACAGGACAACAAGTATATGTATTTTACTGTGCAATTTGAGGACAATTGGTTGTCAGTCAAAATATGCTAGCTAGCCTATTTCTTCCCAATCCAATTACTTCCTGCATCACAAGGCAGGATTCTCAAAGGATTCGTCCAGTTTCCTAGCTGGATTTTAGGCAATATATTTTTTCCTCCCAGAGCATACTAAAAACCACAAGAATCTCCTCTCGGCTCCACTTCAAGGTTCAAGGCCACAGTTCTTAATATATTTTTTTTATTCGTTACAAATTGAATGGGATTGTAATTTCTCATTCAATTCAGGAAACAAGCCATTATGGTAGTTTTGGGCATATCCTGGGGGTAATGCTAAAGGATTGTTGCCATTAAAACTCTGTCAAGACTCTTGTATGGGTTTTGAAGGGGGGGGAGGATTGTGACAATATTCAAAACTGGGAAAAGGGGTGATTGAGTCCAAGTATTTCAGAATGGCTGTAGTATGTGATGGGTGCTTCAGAAATAGCTCTGTTGTACATTCTGTTCCATTAAGCAAAATGCTACTATGAATCGGACTGTGACATGTTGTTTTTTATGGGATTGTGAATTCCAGTCTCTCTGATGTGGAAGAGTTAGAGATTTATTCTAATATGTGTGATTAATATAATTAACAGTTCCTATACAGTAGAATTCTATTTTCCTTTTAATGTTAACTATTAACGTCAGTTGTCATGGATTCCAAGACAGTAGTCATTTCCAAATGTGTCTGTCATACACACCATAGGATCACACAAACAGACTACAATCTGAAACCTTGGAGATGATGGTAATAGTGATGTTTAAGTGTCCAGCACAGGTTGAGATCCAAATATTTCTGGGAACTGTCTATTTTATGGGTCCAGTTGCATTGAGCATGGATTCCACATGCATTTAAATTCCATAACTAGAAACGAAAGTTTGGAAGAAAAATTATTGAAAATCTTGTACAAGTAGATAAGGGAACTATGATTAATGAGTCCTATGAATGAGACAAGCTGTTGTATGTAAATGGAGCCTGAAATGCCTATAATTATGGATGTTTCTCTGACTCTATAATATATATTGTAAAGATGCACCACTTATATAGCTAGATGGGAACTAATGGCTGCGACTAATGCATATCATAGCCACTTAAATCCTAAAATCTTCTGGTCCTTATTTAACCTACCCTAGAAGATTACAACCCAGTTGACAGCAGTTGTCCAGTGTCCCCCTATTATTGAAATGTGGTCATTAGCTGTTTGCACCTTTACATTGATTTTGGACTTTAAGAAGAGTAGTATGAGTTAATGTTATCTGACTAGGTAAACAGCAGATATTCTCATAAACTAGAACAGAGATGACTTAGTTCAGCCAGATTGATCCTAAGAGATTAGTTGTTCAAATACAACAGTTTACTATTGAAGTCAAACCAGCAGCTTAGAAAATGTATGCAGGACATAAGAGAGCTTTACTATTTCCTGGAGCTCAATTTGGGGGCTCTTTTCCTTTAATGTCACTTAGATAGCGAATTAGCTTGTTTTTGTTTTTAATATTCACACAAAGAAAAATATCTGACTAATTAATTGGAAAAGGGTCTGTGTGAATTTAATTACAAGCTTTGCAACTCCAGTTTATTTGCAAGCTCAACATAGCTTCCAACCAGTTTTCATTTCAAAGTGGATATTTTAGTTTTAGACGTATTATGCGTTAGTGTTATGCTCATCCCAGTTAATTATGGACAGAAAAAAACATGTTGCCTTTATATATTTTCTAGGCATATGCCTAGAAATAAAAATCTGAAAAATGACTACAAATGGAGTATTTTTATAAATCTAGACATCGATACTGATTACAGTTGAAATCTTACCAGATCCAATGAAAACTCCTCAACTTTGGAGTTGATGTTATTATTTTCAGAGTTTTGAAACCTCCCACTGTCTGTTGGCTAATAATTAAAGAATGTAAGCTTTTGTGTTCATGAAGCAGAATGAAATGGCTATGTCAGATTTTGTAATAGATTTTAGTTCAATTCCATATATGATGCAATATGTGCAGTAAAGATGACCCAGATTGCCAGGTATAGTCTCATAACCTGATTATTTACTTATTACCTTTTCCAATTTGCTGTCTTCTTTTTCAAAATGAAAAAAGATCTGGCCTAATTTGGGATTATTTATTTTTATTTGCTGCTTTTGGGGCTACATTGCCTGATGAAATCAAAACTTAGAAAAGAATAAATCCTTCATATTTTGAATACATTACAATTGTGGTCAATAGTTCAAATAAATGTCATCAGAAAGAAATTTTATTATCAACCTTCTGAGAAGCTCAAAGTAGCATTGCTAGTTTGAAAAAAGCAGAGCTAAAGATAATTCTTAAACAATCCAGGATTTCAAAACAGTGTCACCACCTACTGGTCAAAGCGTAAAAGAAAGAGGTTTGCAACCTGTAATACTGTAAGTGGAGCTTTTTATTGTAGGATGTTTTGTTCTTTTGTTTCTTATCAATTTTGGCAATTAACTTTTGTTGCTAATTTACAAGTAGATAACTTGATCTTGATGGCCCTAATTGTCCCTGGCTTATTAAAATGTTGGAGGATTTTATTTAGGGTGATTTTAAAAATAATTTTAAATAGAGACACAGCTTCTAATATTCGGTTTTTTAATCTGGTTTTACAGGGGTTTGTATTTTTATGCTTTGTATTTGTACTGTTTTTAATACGCTGTGCACCGCCCTGAGTCCTGCGGGAGAAGGGCGGTATATAAATTAAATTATAATAATCCATTTTTCAATGCTTTCAATCTGTAATATTTCATTAAACCAAGTAGTCAATCTTTTATGGAAAGTCATCAGATGTTTAAGCCAAAATCCATGTAGTTCATCATTTCCTGATGCACTCTACTTAATATCTTTTGTTTGCTTTTTAATCATTTTTATGTGATGACCACATTATCTATTTTTACTGATCTAATGCATTTCTCAATCTCCATTATCCATGCTGATCTTTATTATTGGTTATCCTAGATAACACTCCAAAATTTTAATATTCTATCAGGGTTAAGTCTGTTTCTAGTATGTTCCAGCAATGTTTTATAAAACAAATGCTTTTTTTAAAAAAAACCTGCTGATTTTGTCAAATTGATTTTTTCTACCTTCATATCCTTTACTTTTTTTAAAAATAGCCATGACTCAAGGTTTTTTTTTAATTCTTCTGAGTCTTTTTTAAATTCTCTTTAAGTTATATCATTTTGGTAAACATTTTCATATTCATGCCTGCAAATTATTCAAATTGCTAACATCCATTTGTAAATTATTAATCTTCCTTTCCAATCCAATTTTCTATTTTGATCCTACATTTTGTTGCTTTTTACAGCCCTGTGTCTCAATCCTGATGTTACCTCTGCTGTTGTGTTATAAATTGATCCCTCCATATGTCACCTGAGCCATGAACTCATCCTAGGTCAGGGGTAGGCAACCTTGGCTCTTTTATGACTCGTGGACTTCAACTCCCAGAATTCCTGAGCCAGCCAAGCTGGCTCAGGAATTCTGGGAG